TAAAACAGTGGTTTTAAAATCATATGCATTAAAAATCTAAATATTCTGTAAGCAATTTTATTATTATTTTGGAGATAATGCTGGTTTCAGTGATACAAGTCTTAATAATTAACCCATAGCTGGGGGGAATTGTGCATAGATGAATATAATGAACCCAACTGGAATTGAAATTTGACACTCTGATTAACAATTTGAGTGATTTCTCTTCTAAAACTTGCTTCACAATCCATTTACTCAAGCTTGCTAGGTAGGTTATTTATAGTTTTCCTCTGTCCCTCTTGCCTTCAATCTGTCCTGTGAGTATCAAATTTTCCAAACCCTATATAATTCTATAGTAGCATTATTCAGTATTAAATAACCCATAGAGGTATTGATATGCTGCTAAACAAAAACAATCAACAATCTAGAATTTTATTTATTTCAACATTGTAAAAGCAGTAAAAAATTAATTTTTATTGAAAAGTTGAAAGCCTAACAAAGCTGAATTATCATCAACAAACGGTTTCTTACCTTTTCATAGTTATCATGTGATGTCTATATACGCTTCCTCATTTGAAACTATGTAAAAATTTTATTTTCTATGAAATCTAAGTTCTTGTGTCAAACACAAAAACTTAGCAGGAAAAGCAAGTCATAATAGGTGCAAAATTAAAAAAAAGAAGACCTAACCACTGCATAAAATTTTATAAGAAAAACATTTATTACACGAGTATGAAAAAGGTACAAATACAAAATTTGCACAAAAATTTCCTTTAGGAGGCAGTGTAACAATTTCTGATAAAAAGGATTACCATTGAAAAATTGGATAAAAATTTGGGGGAAAAGACAAGGATTCAATGAGAAAAAAAAATACAGTTCAAGAAGGTAGAAAAACCACCTTTCAGAGAAAGTGAAAACACCTATTTTTACTTGTCCCATGAGCATATCTGGGACATATCGTAATTTTACAAAAGTACCTTTTAAATTCATATTGTTCATACTTGGGAAAATTTCTTAGAATTCTTCTCATTCTTTGTTGTCCAACGACAGAAGAATTTTCACTTGAACTTCAAAATTCTTTAGTATTTAGCTGGCTGGTAACCTTTGTACCTTCTTGATGCTCTCTTCTTGATGTCAAAAGCCTTCTGCTACTTAATGTTGATTTCCTTGGACCCTTGCTGTCAAAATGTCTTCTCTATCTCTCTACTAACCTGAAATTTTATTTATTTGGAAAAATAGGCTCACAAAGAAGATTCAGGTTGTTACTAGACCTTGAGATCATGCCTCACATTGGCCAGTATATATGATAAAATAATTTTCCATATTGGCTCTCTTTGCCATGCCAGGAAATTTTTCTCCCCGGAATCGATACTTCAAATATACAAATCAACTATTCGCCCTTGCATGGAGTATTGCTGCCATATATGGTCTGGTGCACCTTCTGTTTACCTCGGAGTTCTTGACAAGATCCAGAAGCGGATATGTAATATAATTGGCCCTGATCTGGCATCTCGTCTGCAGTTGCTCTCTCACAGACGCGCCGTCACCTCTCTCTGTCTTTTTTACAAATACTTTCATGGTAATTGCTTCGATGAGCTGCTTTCACTGATTCCCAGACTTCATGAATTTAAGCGCCCTAGGAGGCTGGCATCCTGCTCTCACCCTTTCACTGTAGAAACTACTAAATGTAGCCATCTCTTCTACTCCAATAGCTTCATACCCCGCACCTCTTGCCTGTGGAAAACCCTTCCTTATTACTGTTTCCCTGAGAGCTATAATCTCCAACTATTCAAATGTAATGTCAATCGACATCTCCAGTTACCTTGATCTATCCACTATCCCTCTCCTCATCCTTTCCTCTATCACTCATATCTGCTCTCATTCCAAATCTTCTGCAACCCCCTGCATCCTAGTGGCTTCATGCCTTGCTCAGGCATAATGTTAAAAAAAAAAAAAAAAAAAAAAAAACTAGAAATGGATCATTCACAATTTTGGTGAGTTTTAACCAGAGTTGAAAAAGATAGACAAGTGTAACAATTTTTTACACAAACCATCTGGCCTTCATATAAATACACTTCTCTCAAAAGTATGTGTACTAAAAAAACAACTTAGAAGATTAAACATTTATTCAAGACTAACATTTTTAAAGTAGTAAAAATAAAAATTTTATAACTCGAATGTAAAGCAGAAGTAAGATTCTGGTTGTAGATAAAAAGGGCATGAAAGAAAAATCATAAGGTATACTTTGTTAGGGCAGAAAAAAGTATAACTAATTTTTTGTTTGGAAAATTTCAGAGAGAAAATAATTAATATTTTTATTTAAAATAGGTAATATTTTGAATAAAATAATATTTTAGTTTAGTCAGTATATCTTAAAGTAATATTTAATTTACAATAATGAAATAAATAGTACTTTTATAAACTTTTATTTATTTTTAAATGTTTGTGGGCCTCCTGTGACTCAACTTTATTTGGGCGCACAGGCCATATCCTATATTATATTGTCCCCCTCCAGGGAGTCTGCAACAGTGGTTAAGGTATTGGTTCATGAATTTGGTGACATAATGAGTTCAATCCCCAGGCTGCATAGTACAGACTTAGACTCAGTGGAAACAGGGCAAGCAATAATTGAACAGTACTGAACAAGACAAGATATCCCTAAACATAGTGAAATGAGAAAAATTTACCCCTGTAGATTAAATAAAGGGATTAGTTTGAAATTCCTTGATCTGCAATCATCTGAAGAAGGCTGAAATGGTATGATAATAAAAACAACAAAGATGAATGTAAATAATGTAAATAGTTTTTCTTGCACTTCTCGCCTGTGGAAGTCTCTTCTGGTTTCTTGCTTCCCTGCCACTTATGATCTTCTAAAATTAAAATGCAACAACAATCACTATCTTTTTGTCTTCCTGGTATCCTGTTCTTTTATTGTCCTATCTCCTCACTTCCTTTTACTCTCAGTAACCCCTTGCATTTTAGTGGCATTATCACCTTGCTTGGGGTGAAATGATTTAAAAAAAAATAATAATAATAATAATAATCACAGAAATTCAGATAGAAATAACAAAATGGTATTCTAAATATTTCTTATAGTTTAGAAAAAAATTATTGAGTGTGAAGTTTCTCCAGAATTTTTTAAGAACATGGTTCAAAATTGAGTTGTTGGATCCTAAACTTGATATTATCATTTCTAACATCTCTTGATCACTCAAGTATTTTGACAAGAATATTAGGATTTTTATAAAGACAAGGTAAATTAAGAAAATTTATTAATTACATTATATTTTTTCATTAGTCATAAAAGTCAAAAGATTAATATTTTCTGGAACTGTAATCAAGATTTTGCACAAAGTTGTATCTACAGTTAGTAAATATGGTGTAAAAGCGTTTTCCACAAGAATTCTTTGATTCTGGTATGTGTAAGTAAAGTAGTGTTCTTCAATGATAATGGTTACCAGCTGGAATAAACTAAATTGGCTGACCTTGTAAAAATGTTTGTGGTAGGTAAACCTAACAAGTGGCTCTTGAGTCTTATAGAGGGCAAATATAATTGTAAAAAAAAAAAAAAAAGAAAAAAAAAGACTATTGCAGGGGAAAGAATGTATGCATAGGTTTGGAGATGGGCCCAAAGATGGATTTCAAAATATTATCTGAAAAGCATCTCTTTAAAAGAAAAAAGAGATAATGTTGATTGTTTAACTTGAAATTGAAAGAACTCATCAGTAGATGACCTTGGCTTAATGTACATGTGCCATGGATATCAGCCAAGTATTATTTTCATGTTAGAGAAGAAGCAGAAAAAATGTTTTTCTAACCACTTGAGGACGTCTGATGAGATCGATAGAAAAACATCATACAACACAAGTGGTTAAATTAAGTAAGAAGATCATGCATGTTCTGTTAAGAAATAAGGGTTGGTGTTTGCACATCACTAAGTAATTGTAAAATAAAAACTGAAAATATATTATCAGAAGCACCTACTATGGATGACTATGGTAAAAATTAACAGAGTAAATGATCAGCTTGATCCTTACTGGAGTGGAACGAATGCTTCACGAATGGCCGTGTTCCAAAGTTGGATTTTTCCACAAAGATGTCAAACACCTGTCAAAACTCAAAATTGTTCGCTTAAAAAAAAAAGAAAAAAAAAGCCGTAATCCAGTCTAATAATCATAAAAAAAATACTAACGTTTACATTTTATTTTATTTTTTTTCAGAAAAATTATACTTTAAGTTTTGATAATTATGAATTTAAGAAAGTTCGAGTAGTTTAAGTGTCTTAACATTGAATTTATTTTAACAGAACTCTTAAATTTTACTAACCAAACAAGAACCCAGGTGTTAAAAATAACACTTGCTGAGAAACAAGAAAACACAACCTAGAAAAAAAAAGTGGGGTAGGACGCACTTAACGTTACGGGTTCTGGAACACCCATAACAACTTGAGAATGACCTGGCAAAGAAATGGAAATTTCTTTTCTCAGACAATTAATTCACTTAGACAAAACTACCAAGAGTTCGAAAAAAAAAAGAGAAAAAAAGGTTACGCCACCTCAGTAACTGTCACTGAATTGGCGGACTGCACATTAAAAATGATGGTGAAAAAAGACAAAAAAAAAAGTATTTTTAACATTTGAAACAGAAAATTACGAAATATAAAACTAAAAGAATATGATGAAAACTGGCTACGTGAAAAGAAAAAAAAAGTTTCTTTCGTTTCTGTTTATAAAACGCTTTTTTTACCTGATACTTTCTTTGCTTTAAGTTTTATCAAATTTTCTCTCTTATTGAAAGTAGGACAAGTTGAGGAGAGACATCAGGTTTGTTATGTGGGGGAACCCGAGTCTCACAAGAAGCAGGAGTGCTTAAAATAAATAAATAAATAAAATAAACCTACAGAGATTGAGGCGAGAAAAAAGAGAGAGAGGGGGAAAAAAGAAGAAGAAGCACAGACAGACAGAAAGGTAACCGGGAGCACATTTGAGGAAGAAAAAATATATAGCGAAATCTGACTGAAGGATTGGTTCGTTTACACCTCCATCCAGGTAAAGACAAAGAAAAGAGGGAATAAAAAGAGAGACAGAAAAGCAGGAAAATAACTGTCTCTAACCGAACATAGATAGTGGTTGATACTTTTCTTTTCCTTTTTTTTTTTGTAGGGGGTAAACGAAACATCAGGACCTCCTTTCAAACAATATCCATCGATATTATTATCAATTCAATCACAATCTTTCTTTATTGATCGGATTTTTAAAACCGTCACAATAATGTGGAACCCTACTCATGTCCAATTTACAGGTAAGATGTGTTTTTTTTTATTTATTTTTTATTTATTTCTTTAAAAACGGAGGGTAATTCTGTTTAGTTTATTTATTAAATTGTTTTTTGTTTGTGTGTAATTTTTTTTAACAGATTTTTTTTTCTCTCTTTACTAATGCAAACTTTTCACGGATGTGAAAGGAAAGATGTTATTAAGGAAGATTGAACAACCTTAAAGAAAACAGTAGCCACTTGCCTACTGACCGCCAATTTATAAACTTTTTCTTCTTCTTTTACTAATTATGACTGATTTTTCTTTTTTATGTTTGCTTTTCCATGTTAAGATCCTGTCAATTATTTTTAAAACAAACATTTCAATTTTTAAAAAATTAGGTGTTTTTGGGGTCCCCACCCTATATAAAATATTTATTTTTAAAATATTACGTTACTGAAGATTTTTTTTTTTTTTTTTAGTGGCGTAAAAAATAAAATTAATCATTTCACATTGTAAGCAGTTTTGTTTTGAGTTTAAAAATTCGGTTTTACCTTTTCTTTTCTCTAATAATATTCCATATGTAAATAAATATTGAACGGTAACATGTGGAAGTGAATTATAAAAAGATTGAATGCATTTCATTTAAAAATAAACTTTATTGTTCTAAAAAATAATGTCAATTTGATGTTCATATTTCATAATACTAACGAAAGTATGATTTTAAACTAAACAAAAACTTATTCTTGTACAAGGTGACTTTTTTAACATTTAAAAAGTACATTTTTTTTTTTTTCATTTTGAGTTGAAATAATTAATTTGTCGGTGCGAAAAATAGGTGTGTCATTATTATTGAAAAAGACGACGTTTCTCAAATATTAAGTGGTTCTCGACTTTTAAATTTTTAATTTTAATTTAATTTTTTTTTTCTTTCCCAAATTTCAAACTTTGATTTATTTGCTCATTCATAAGTTTTCCTATGAAATTATTAAAAACATAAAAAAAAAAAAACTATCACCCCCTCCAGTTCTACACTTTCTTCATTTTTTTTTTTTATTAGAAAAATGAAAAACCTGTCTTAATTTTATAGATCTAGTCTGGATATGTCGTCAGTCAGTTATTTTATTTTTAATTCTATTTTTAATATTACTTGAATTTTCTTTTCTGTCACTTGACTTTGTTTTGCGTTGACCGTCATTGTCTATTCCCTTCCCCGTCATTTTAAAACTTTTTTTTAACGTAAAGTGAGACGTATTTTTACTTGGAGACAGGCATTTATTGGTTAGAGCTGGAAAACACTTCTTTGGTTTTAAGTGAGGATCGAACTATCAACAAAATATATTGCAGATTTAGAGTGATAACCATTGCACTAGGGGACTAGGCTCCGTTTGTGACTAAGGAAGACACAGAGTGGATATCAAACTAAAAAAGAACTTTCATGAAATAAATAGTAATGAATGACCTTCGTTTTTAATATTTTGATTTAGTTAGAAATAGTCATTTAGTTTTTTTGTTAAATGATTTTTCGTGAGGTTTGAATGTAGCAAGCTTTGGTCAACTTCTAAATTGACAAGTACAAAAAAAAACTGTTACTACTGTGAGTGTGATTTAAAAAAAAAAAAAAATGACAGGTTTTTTTGCTGGCACTGAATATTTTTCATAAGGCGTGCACATTTTTTTCAATTAAAAGCAAAGTTGAGGTTTCTAAAATCTCTCAACTCAACAGATTAAGGAAGCATTGAATCAACAAATTGTTGCAAATGTTTATTTTCAAATCTGGAGTAGTAGGACGACCCAAAAGTTCTAATTTAACAACAGTAATTTAATTTTAATTATGTGGAGTAATGGATAGCGGCTCGGATTGAGGAATAGGAGAACAGTTCAAATTCCAGTCGAATCCATTACATTCACTTACCCTTGGGAACGGTATGAATCATCCTCTTCTCCCCACTATGGGTAAATAGCAGGACAGACTGGGTTCTATATCCTTGGATGGCAACTGGTCTACCACAGAAAGAAATGGCAAACTACTGCGGGAAGAAATCTGCCTCGTCAGTCATGTATCGAAAGATAAGCATGTGTCACACATGGCGCATAACTTTTATTATTATAATTATACAAAAATTTTATTTGTTCTGTAGGTAAACTTTTTACATTTAAACTTTAATAATTTCTTTTTCTTCTGTAGGTGAGTCGATTATTTTGAATTCATTTTAAAAGCTTTTAGTTTTTTTTTACACATAAAAAAAATAACTGCTTTTGTGTGTGTATTGTATGCATAGTTTCATTATCTCTTTAATAATGTAACATAACACATTCATGTGTAATGTCAGGATTTTTGCAGTGGGGATTTATTATATGTAACTTTTTATTACTACCAGGGAATCAGATATGTTTTTTTTTAACAACACTTTAATTCTCTAGGCCATATGTGGTTTGGGTTTGGAGTGCAGAAAAATCTCACATTTTGGTTCAGTGGAAGAAACATACAAGTGATAAAAAGGTGAATAGACTGAAGATAATTGATACAACAGATCCCTTAAGCATGGAAATCAGAATTAGAACAATCCTCCCCTATGGATTGAATAAAGGGTTCAGTTTAAAATGTCAATTAAAGGTTACCAAGTGTAAGAAGGCCAGAGAGTAGAACAACTGAAATATTGTGAGAATACTAATCAAGAAGAGCACTTAAGTCCAAATAGCAAGGCATTTACAAGTTGTTTCAAATTAAGATTTTAGAAATATATTGAACGCTAATATAAATTGTCTAAAATTGAAAACGATTTTTCATGTATTAAACTACACACACACACACACACACAATATATATATATACACATATATATATATATATATATATATATTGTTCCAAGTAAAAGTTAAGATTTTGACTACAGTTTTTGCTAGTCTACAGAGGGCACTTCCAATTACAGATATAAGGGTTTACATTAGTTTGCTTGTCTTATCTATTTTAGGGTGGTATTTGATTAATTTAGACCATGTCTTCTCCTCATTATTAAATAACTTTAACAAATTAATTAGAAAGTTAATAATGAAGATCTGTTCAAAATTGAATGCCACCCTAAAAATATACATATATGGAAGATTATATACACATGTTTTATCAGTTTGTGACCGGAAGGGATAATTCTGAGGAGGATATAAATCCAGGGAGAGCTCAATGTAGACTACAGAGCATTGTAATAATAAGAAGATGGAGACTTTAATAATCCCAACAAAATGTTTACACTGAGATGTTTCTCATCAGAATGAAAACCTTCTCTGCAAATGGAGAAAGTACACTGGACAGACACTTTAGATTGGTAGCGGGGAGGGAAGGTATTGGTTGGTAGTAGTCAGTTTCTTATAACCAGAGTAATAGCAGGTAATTGAATAAAAAAAAAAAATAATAAAAAAAATGGCAAAACTCCTATGTTAGACATTTCATCCCTTGAAAAGACTGCTTCATATTAATAATGGTCTTATCAACAGTCTTGTGTATGTTGAGAAGACATAAATGATGATTGTAATTTTATATAGAGAAAGACTCAATGAACTTAGAGGCTTAGCTTTAAATCTTATATATGATTTTTAGGTTTTGAAATTTAGAATTGATAGTTTGCCTCTTATAGCATTAGCTTTGTTACAGTTACAGAATACTTTGATACATTGTTGAAATAAGTTTCCTTGATGCTTGTCATGGGACAGTGGTTCAGAAGATTGTTTTACAAGATATTGTCAGTAAGTTTATCACTGGATACTCCATTATTAATTACAGACTTGATTTTGGTTATTGAAGATCCACAAATGTTAGAATTAGAAATCATTTCTTCCCATTCTGTTATGAATTTAATTGCTAACTGGACAATCACTAGTATTTTTAAGTCTTTAAGACTGATTTCCTTCTCGCTCTCCATTCGCTGCTTCTTGGCTTATCTTTTTTATATATCCTGTGTTAAGCAAATGCTCTGTTACACTTGGCCTAGATAAAATACCATAGTTGATGGCATGTCAACCCTCTCTCCCATTTATATTTTATTTTAACAGTATTATGGTACAAGTACTGATAGTTCCTAGCATCTGAGTATTTGCTTACCAGATACCTTTACTTTGTGTATAAGACCTGAAAGGGTTTTAAGGACTGCAGGAATCAAAGACAGGAAACAAGATTAACCCTATCCAGTGATACATAGCCTATAGCTTAAATTCTCTCTAACATGTTATTGTCTGAGTGAAATCAGATTTTGTGTGCTCAAACAATAATTGTAATCTTCAACTGATTTTTAACTGTATTCATGTAAGAAAGAAAGAAAAAAACTAGTTTTGAGATTGTGAATTTTAATCTTGGGATTAAATAAAATGAAGTGCTTTCTATTTTTTTAGTCAAATATAGCCTTCTGCCAGAAATACAACTAAAGTTACATCCAGATTCAACACATTTTTTTTGATAATTCGGTAGAAAAAAATGTTTTTTAAATTGTGTAAATGTTTTTTAAATCTATATTATAAAAGGACTGATTTTTCTCTCTGTATCACATATTGTCTGTGTATGACTCTGCATTTGTATATGTAATGGATATGCATACATATTTATTTTATTTTATTTTTTATTTTTTTTTTTTTTTTAATCATTTCACCCCAAGCCATCAAGACTCAAGGGATTACATATGTTGATTGTGACTGACTTATATGTGCTTGTGACATTCAATTTACATACCCTAACACAATTTGACTAATGTTGAAATAAGACATTGGTTTAATTATAATACACTTCCTCACAATCAGTATAGACCATCCCTATCCTGAACTGAACAATAAAATTATAATGTTGGAGATAAGGAAAAAAAAACCCGTTATCTTAACACCTCCACAAAAAAAAAAAAATGGTTTTAATGATTTTTTTTTTTTTTGTGAATTATTTACTAATAAATAAAACTATTTTTCAAGTTTATTTTCATTTGGTAGAAATATTTTTAAGTCTGTTGTTGAATTAATGTGTAAATGCACACATACTTACACACACACACAATTTGAATGAAACTGAAAT